TAAAGTGCAAACTACCGTCCACGCCCCTAGCACCGCCTTGAGTGGAATTCAACATTAAAACATGAAATGGTAACATTTTGAATTTAGAAACATCTGCAGATGTGATATCAAGCAACAGAAACGATGTGCAATAACAATAAAGGATCAGACTTAATAAGAAACAGAAATAATAATATGACCTACCATTACATGCTATAGAAACATCTCTACTATGGCTGCATTCATTAAGAAACAAATACTGACAATCACTTAGAACAACATCATCACTATAACAGAAAAGTTGATCAATATAAACCGGCCCACTTCCTTCTCCATACAATGCCCCGGTAAAGAACCTCATTGCTCTAGTAATTTTAAAAAAGAAATACTTAAACTTAATTTTTGCTGCCTTCAATAACAATTTCTATATTTATTTCTCGAGTACTTTCGACAAAGCTAAAGTATAAATGAACATTATTTTGTACGAATATATAACGGTTTCTGAACTATTAAAAAACTATATTTGAAGTTCTAAAACGTTTTTGAATATTAACCATAATTTTATTATTCAAATATATTTAAATTGCGGCATATTTGTATCATTTGTAAAGGGCAAAAATTTACATGATAAATCACAAATATCTACTGATTACGAAATCATTTCCACAACAACTGGTATAATTCTTATTTACAATTTGTTGTCATCTCTCTAACATTTGATGTATTTGGAAAGGCAAAAATATATAGTAGCACATATTGTATCAGCCGTAGGTGATGTTTACAACATTCCAATATGTGTTATGCTACAAATATCGTTATACATGACTTTTCATCCAAATGAACACGACTCAATTTGAAAACTCTTTAATACTGTGTTAAGCAACTTACTTCAGTCCAAGCATGTTACAAAACACCTCCGCATCTCTTAAAGCAAAATTGGAATCGCAAATAGTTCCCCATGTATTGTCTACTTTGATTTCTGCCCTACCATCGTTAGGCCCTGTTCCATTTATTATTCGCACATCCGTTATATTCAGAGACGGACCTAATGATAAATTCTTTTTTTTAAACAATATGAATAAGTTGATAAAAAATAAACAATATTGACATCAATAAGTACAAATTTAAGTGTTTGTTTTACCCGCTGTACCATAATTTGATTCATTTTAAAGCAAAATCAATGACTACAAAAGTAATGTATAGCTGACGTTACTCAAACAAAATATCATTTATAATTGCACCGCCTCCGTGGTCGAGGGGTTAGAGTCGATGGCTTCTAATCCAGTTACCTCTCTGGCGTGCGTTTGATCCCCGGGAGATGCTTTGGAAGTTTAGCACGGACGGAGGTAGTCTAGTACTGGTGTAACATTCCAGGAACGATGGTTAGGAAACTACCCACCTATATGACTGAAATACTGTTGGGAAAAGACGTAAAATGAAACAAACAAACAAACAAACATTTATAATTATAAGCTAATGATTCAGAATGTATTACATTTCGTTAGAGTAAATCGATTAATTTTTAAATGTATAAACCTTAACTGAATCGAGACAAGACAATTACCAAAGCACACCACTGAAAAATCATCTGCATGCGAACAGTAGTAGTAGTCGTAGTAGTTGTTGTTGTTGTTTGCATCATGTTCGCAGTCGTTTATGTCTGTATAGTTGGGGCTGTAACATTTAAGACTCTCTATGTGTATTGGACCTTCTCCTCGCCCATAACGTGCAAAAGGATAGTAGTTGTAATATCTGCAAGGTTACAATTAGTAAAGTTTAGTTTCTTGGTTAACAGAGAAAACGATATTAAATTTCCATCGTAATAAAGAAACAATATTACAGTTTCAAAATTTTAAATCCTTTTTTCTCTTTGATGTCCGAGCGATTAAAATAGTCTGAAATAAGCATAAGTAATTACCGTAATCCAATCATATTGCATATAACATTTGCTGAGTTGTATAAATAGTCCCAGTTGTATAAGTATTCATGTGAGCAGATTGTTCCCCATATGTCATCTACTTCAACTTCGACTCTTCCATGATATGGTCCATTTGTACCGGCCAGACGCAGCCCTGTGACATGCGGCTGATGCCCTGTAATATGATTTGACACATCTGAGTGTGTAACTTTCCGCTTATAACATTTCCTTTTTATTTTAATGATTTAAATGTTATTTATATGTAACAAAATATTCTTGGCCAAGATCAATAACTTCTGAAAGTGCATGTATATAATTTCTTTTAAAGGCAACATTTAGCAACCCTATACAATTATATAATTGAATCTCAAATATACAATTTTAATTCTGTACTATACCAGAGCAAGAAAAAGCAAGACCTTAACCAAACATCTTAATTAATATTAAAAAAGAACAAAATGAAACTTTAAAGAACGTTCAAAGCGGTAAATTTATAAATGTCGCATGCTCGGTTAAATCGAGCTTGCTCATGGATGGTAATAGTACGTGCAGACTACCGTCCACGCCCCATCTGTTTTTATACAGCGGTTATCATGGAACCTTTTATATGACATGTTCGTGACATTCTTTGACAAGAGTTCCAAGATGGCCCTAGATTGCTCACCTGACCCATCGAACTCATCCGAACAATTACCTAGACAAGCAATCTGACCGAGATTCATGACATATGAGTCAAAATTGTGACCACTTGAGTCCTAACAAGGATTATCCATATTTGAGCAGTGTGGCCTAGTTTTTGACCTCAGGTAACCCATATTTAAACCTGACCTAGAAATCACCAAAACAAACATTCAGACCAATTTCCAGGATATTTGGATCAAAACAGTAGCCGCTAGAGTGTAAACATGATTTTTTTTTATTTTTAGCTCCTGTAACTTAGTTTTTCATCCGAGATTACCCATGTTCAAAGATATCCTTTCGATTACCTAGAAAAGCATCTTGACCAAGTTTGATGACAATTGAGTATAAAACGTGACCACTTTGTTTACAAGGTTATTTGGGCGGTGTGATCTAGTTTCTGACCCAAGATAACCCATATTCAAACTAGACCTAGAAATATCAAACCAGACTTTCAGACCAATTTCGAGAATATTTGGATCAAAACAGTAGCCAGTAAAGTGTTAACAATATTTTATTATGTTTAGCTCCTGTGGTGTAGGTTTTCATCTGAGATGACCTATGTTCAAACTCATACACGCAATTACTTAGATCTTTTTAGCAATTACCTAGATAAGCATCCTGACAAAGTTTGATGACAATTAATTCAAATATGTGACCACTACATTGTTAACAAGGTTTCTCTATCTTTAGCTCCTGTGACCTAGTTTTCATCCGAGATGATCTATGTTTAAACTCATACACGCAATCACTTAGACAAACATCTTGACCAAATTTAATCATAATTAACTCAAAAATGTGACCACTAGAGTGTTAACAATATTTTTCCTGTGATCAAGTTTTTTTATCCGAGATGACCCATGTTCAAACTCATCCGAGCAATTACTAAGACAAACATCTTGACTAAGTTTAATGATAATTAACTAAAAAATATGGCCACTAGAGTTTTAAAAATGTTATTCATGTGACCTAATTTTTCATCTGAGATGACCCTTGTTCAAACTCAACCGAGCAATTACCTAGACATGCATACTGACCAAGTTTTATGATAATTGAGTCAAAATTGTGACAACTAGAGTGTTAACAAGGTGTTCTATTTTTAGCTCTGGTGACGTAGTTTTTCATCCGATATGACCCATGTTCAAATTCGTCCGAGCAATTACCTTGACAAGTATCCTGACCAAGTTTGATGATAATTGTTTCAAAACTGAGACCACTAGAGTGATAACAAGGTTGTTCTATTTCTAGTCCTGTGACCTAGTTTTTTATCCGAGATGACCCATGTTCGAACTCATGCGAGCAATTACCTAGACAAACATCCTGACTAAGTTTAATGATGATTGAGTCGAAAATGTGAACACAAGAGTGTCAACAAGGTTTTTCTATTTTTTCATTTTTGACCTAGTTTTTCAATCCAGATAACCCATGTTCAATTTTATTTGAGCTATTACCTATACAACCATCTTGACAAATTTTGATTATGATTGAGGCAAAGATGTGACCGCTAAAGTGTTAACGGACGATGGACATTTAACGATCCTAAAAGCTCACCCTGAGCTAGCTCTAATGAGCTTAAAAGCGTTGTGTGAAAGCAAATAAAAGCATGTGTGAGCCCTTTGACACAACTAAATAAATAGATTTTTGAAGGAGATCTGTGGTTATGTTACCTGCATATAATACTAAGACGTCAAAATCGAGAAAAAAAAAGATCATCACAGGACGCTGCCTTCGATACACCCAAGCAGGACACCAAAACAAAACCGGGAGTGGATGTAAGGGCGGTGAAAGGGACACATTATGTGTGAAAAGATAAAAACTGAAACGGGCACATATGCGCATTAAAGGGTTAAGGGCCATAAGGGTAAAATGGGTGGAGGGGTAAAAAAAATGGGCGGTGTGGGAATATACCAACCGCCAACGACAATCGAACAAAGCAGACATTACAAAACATGTAAACGTTTAAAACAAGTAAAATCACAGACATGATAAACATGTGAAGGACACAGGGTGGCACAGCCTTGAAACGGTCAGTGGTGGTTAAACCACTGGGGAGTTTAAAGCAGTTTCAGGCGCGCCAAACCTCACTCTAAGCCCAAATATGTTCCTAAATGACACGAAAGTGTCAATAAAATTAATCCCCACCAAGTGAAATTCTAACAGAAGTCATTGACAAAATAAATAAAACACAAACATGATTGTGTAAATATGTACAAAAAGGTTCAGCCTAATGACCATTATCAAAGTACTCGATGCCTTAAAGGAAGGCAGAACAAAGAGAAAATCACCTACAAGGGTCCGACAAAGCAGGACAGAAGACAAACATTAAGACAATTCAGTCCCAAAGGGCTTTAAGAACTGACCATCATAGAGTCTCCCACATAGTCCCTCAGTTTTAATTAAAAGAGAAAAGACCAGTTTTAAAAGCAGGCTACATATAAAAGGACAACTGAATAGAAATATTGGCTGGTATTATGTTAACTAGTATGTTCTGGCTATAGTGTAATGAGATTTTATTTTTTTCAAAAAGTACTATTCGTCAGATTGACTATTGAATGTTAACTACATCATACTACGTAGTAAAGGGATATGAAATAAAAATAAAATTATTACCTGCACATACGACTTGTGCAATGTCGAAACAATCATTATCTACATGGTAAAAGCACTGATTGATATGTCGTTCATGTCCATTGCATTGAAGATTTGAAATAAAAGCCGGCTCGTTACTTGTATAACCTGAGTAAACTTGATTTGCTCTGTTAAAAAGGGATATAAACGTATTATTTTCTATGAAAGGAGTGCATTATATTATTGGACCGTTCGTTTGATATTAAAACGCAGATATAACAGTTTATTAAAATATGTTTCTTTTAAAAATTCTGCGCATTTGACTAAAAATTGTCGCAAAATTTGCTTTACTCAAATTGTCGTTTCCTTTCATGTGTTTATTGCAACAATAAGCATAGCAGCCTCATTGGAGATACATTTTATCAATATGTAAAGATATTGTGACGTTGGCCTTAGAACCAAGCAATTAACAGTTTTTTTTATCCCTTTCAACAGTATTGTTATAAATCTATTCAAATGTTGATTTGAAATTATGATTCTAAAAGGAAAACCACTCGATAACACTATAGTTCGTACAATAGTTTTAACATGCACATAAAGACTATTACTAGCTCTTGCATGCGTACGGGCATTGGAACGCCAAAGTGTTAAACTTTGAACAATTAAGAGTTGTTATCAAGAACACGGCAAACGCGGAATTTTCCAATGTAATCAGTGTGTTCAACTCTTATTGCTTCACGCTGTACAAGGCCTATTGTTTTTGAAAGTCTAATCATCGAATAAAAAGATACAACTTGTACAAAAACATCCGTTTTTAAATAAGAAAATATACCATCAATTTTAAACAGGATGTACATGTAATGAAAAGACTAGAAACTAAACACAATTTCTTTGGTTTTCTTTTTTGTTATTGTTGTTGTTACATTAGAAATAATACATTCTTTACCTAGCCTATTAAATAACTTTAACACTTGTATATAGTTTTTGTCTGTAGAGTTTCTGTAACTATCAAATAATTTAAGCAACACATTAAAATGGCTAGAAGAAAAGTCGAAAAGATATTTCATCTGAATTTGACAATGGTACATTTTGCAGATATGTTGGCAGAATATTGAATAAGAAAGTAAGCAAGTGAATTATTTATTATAGTGACATGTGTACATGTTAACACGTCACATGTTAACACGTCTTGTAATGTAATGCAATAATAATTTTCTAGTCAGAACAGCTAAAACAGTATTCTTATGGGTGCCTTAGCAGACCGTTTTAGAAGCTAACGAGATGAATAAAAATTACACGTTATACTAAAAACAAACATGCATTCTCTACAAACCATGCATGCTGCTCAATCGGGCGTCCGCAGCCGAGTGGTTAAGGTCGTTGACTTTAAACCACTTTCCCCTCACCGCTGTGGGTTCGAATCCTGACAGGGACTTTGGATTCATTCATGTGAGGAAGCTATACAGCTAGCTTACGGAACGTCGCTGGTTCTACTAAGGTGCCCGTCCTTGCCTGAAATAATGCACGGAAGGGCACCTGATGTCTTCCTCTATCAGTAAAGCTGGAACGTCGCCATATGACGTATATGGTGCCGGTGTGATGTAAATATCAATCAAACAAACAAACAGGCAGATATGCTGCACAATAAACTGTGTTGACGACAAATACGGATTTTACCATATTTAGCTAGTATGTTCTACCGAAGTTTTATTTCTATTTCATACTTAAATGCGACATAATTTCGAAAATAAATGATTTTATACAAATATAAAAATATTTTTTTATCTAATCGCTTGCCTAAATATTTTTCACCAACTTGCATATCAAATATTTTAATATCACACTGCCCAAAGCTTCCAAAGGAGCGGTGAGTCAAACTGCAAATGTCAACTCTATGCCACCGTATTCCACGGGCTGTGTTTCGAATAAACAGCCTCTTCTAAGGCTAGTTCAAAATTATATTTTGATGATTTCACAGTATAATTATCAAATGTATTTCTACATGTATTAAAATTTCAGTAATGCACTCAAAGTCATATTGAAATAAAAGAACCCTACATTTTGTAAGTTAAGTGAAATAAAAAATACACTATATGATAAGGCACGTACCCTAACGGAAATCCGAGCATGTTACAAATGACGTTCGCCTCTGCGAAAGTAAAGCCGTAGATACATATATATCCCCAAATATCATCAACCAGAATCGTAACAGAACCATTGTGGCCAGCAGGTCCGAGAAGCCGTATACCTCTTATTTGTAACGGATAAGCTATAATTAAAACATGTTAAAAATATATAACTATAACAGATCTAGCAGATCCAGTCTTATAATTCACTTTGTAATTTGTACCAAATCACTACAGAAAGGACATAACTTTGTGTATAGATAATGATATAGAGGATATTTGTTTGTTTGTGTGTAAGATGAAATTTTATTTCATCGAGTGAGCTTTAAAAACAGTATTCTCACGAGTGGCGTAGCTACGAGTGTGAATACTGTTTTTAAAGTTCACGAGATTTTAACTTTGATTCACGTGATTTTAACTTTTTGTAATTTTGCGCAACAAACAAATAAAGTTTCTTTTTATTTCATGCTTAAAACAAGTTAAAACGAAATTTCCTTGATATTAACTTTAATATTAAAATCTGTTTTTTCCCATTGGTAGCCTCTCTATTTGTCGAATTTCTCATAAAATACAAGAAGTCTTGGGCTGAAAATAAGTTCGTCAATCAACGTTAAATGGCGATGATATTATTCATTTTATTCAAATAATATGAAAAATCGCTTGTCTTAATAATGAAAACAAAACATTTTAGTAGGAGAAAAAGTCAAACCATTCATCCATATTTCTGTTACTTACGGCGAATTTAAATTAGACTTGGTTCTGTGAAATGTAAGCGGCAGCCATTTTTAAAATTTGTGTATTTCACGGGAGGAAAAATATTGTGTCAGATTCAGAGGGATTTTATTTGAATTTGTTAGTCATACATCTTTTAAGAAGAACGAAAACTTATTTGAGGATTGTTACAGACAATTGTTGACAGATGTGTAAGCATTCAAAAAGCGACTACGATATTGGAACGCATGGACTTTTTGAAAGGCTGCTTTACAAACTTACGAACGCTTGGTTATTTACTTATTCTTCGGGCTGATGTATGTCATTGCTTTTCAAGTCATTAGGCAGTTATTGCTCATAGGATGCCCAAATGTCATCAAGAGCAGTTCTGCATGTGGAAGGAATTGTGTTTATTAGACTGTAAACATGAAACAAAAATTAAGAGACGATATTTGGTGATTGGTAATTTGAATGAATTGAAGTAAGTTTTCTTCTTTTTATTACTTTTGAAATTTCAGTTATTTATCAATTTTAGCTCTGCTTTACTCTAAACAGCCCTGACAATGTCAGAATTGTCAACACTAATAAAATTGAAGTACCGCATGGGGAAAATCTTAAAAAAGTAGTCTCATCTTTGAAAAGTGTGAAATTATATGTTGATAATTTTCACTGTGAAATTATCAAATATAATTTTTACGGATTAATCAGTAATCCACTGAAAAGCATAAAATAAAATATTTTTAATTTTAAAGTTTTGGTCAGTCATAATTATAATGTTTGAACTTCAAAAATCTAAGAAGTTTTATGATTCTTATAATAAAAATGTATCGTATATTGACATATCGTATATTGACATAATATAATGCTATAAGATTAGCAATATAAGTAACCTACAATATGTTTTTGATGAACATTTGTCATTTTGCAGCCAAGTCCCATTCGCAAGACAATCAAATGTTATTTTTTCTGGTTGATAGCCAACTCTGCACTTTGCAGTCAGTACAGTACCATTAAAAGAATCAAAAGATCCATATTGTATTGTCGGTTTACCACAAGCTGTAATTATAAACAAAATAATATTAAGTTTTCGATGGATGTTTGATTATAAAAATCCAAAATTTAAAATAGTATTCCTTCCTCGGGAGCAATGGCAACAGTTAAAGGCTAAAAAATTGCAGACTTCGTTTGTTTGGGATTGTTCGTAAGAAAACCAATGAAAAGTGAAATATCTCTCATGATCCCTAGACAAGGCTTCAAACAGTATTCAATCCTCAATATGGTATTCATTCCTCAACACATAAAGTTATGGAATAAATAATCCTGAAAGATCACATAAATGTAAGACAGACTGAGATTCCTAAGGTTCAAGATAAAAAATGTAATCAAGTTAATAACAAGAAAAGCATTGATGGAAAGCATCAAAGGGCGTCCAAGCAAGAAATGCAGCAAGTGAAGATAAACTAGTAGACATCTGATGACCAGATATTCTTATTAACTTTTCTATAGTTAATTGGTTTTCACCAGATTTGTATAATATGTTTGAATGGCCGGACGAAATTTCTATTACCTGCAAAATTCTCTAGCTTGTTATTAATTACCATAGCGTGACACGAATGTACGTTTCGTTAAACTAAAACTACTTCTATAAATATACTTTCACAATGTTAGAGTCATCATTCTATTTATAGGTACAGAAATACATAATAATCCACTGTGTACTAATAAAAACAAGATTGCATTTGAGAAAAATGCTATGCCACCGCATTAATACAACACTAAATAGTAGTGTAGGAACACATTTTTCTTGGTTTCTATACAATTTTGAAGATTATCATAATGCAAAGATCCCTGACCTATCTAATTCTTAATATCAGATTAGTAGTTAAATCTGTTGTTAACTCAATAAAAGGTCAGAGTAGGAATATATCAATGCACTCGAGTCTAGTGAATTTGGTGGTGAAGGTCATATTTAACACAGCCTAAATTTCATGACTATATCAAAGGACAACACAGTAAGACACTTTGTCAAAATCTAGGTCAGCTGAAATCAAAGTTCACTTTACATCTTAATCTGTGCACATGGTTCAAATTTCATAGCTGTACATCAAAGGACAAGAAAGTAGGTCACACCATCAAAATCTAGGTCACCTGATATCAAAGTTTAATTTTACAACTAAAACTGTGCACATGGGCAAGGCAAAATTTTTGACCCAAGGGTTTAATTCAAAACAATCTTGATACAGGTCCACCAAACAACATTCAAGTTAAATATCTAAGCTCTGGCTTTCTCCCATTCAGAAAACATTTGTTTTATTTTCTGTTTTTATTATTTGTACATAATGAGAATCCCTGTCCCCGGGCAGGGCAAATTTTGACACCAGGGGAAAAATTTGAACAACTTTGGTAGAGGACATATAAATGATATTATGTAGCAAACATCAAAGCTCTATGCGTTGTATCTTCAGACAAAAATATTTTTTATCTTTTACTATATATACATAATGAAAATCAATGACCCCCTGGGCGGAACCAATTTTGACGCCAGGGCTATAATTTGAACAATCTTGGTAAAGGTTAACTTCGAAAAGTCTCATGCCATATATTTAACCTCTAGCCTTTGTCAATTCAGAGAAGAAGATTTTTAAATTCAGAGAAGAATATTTTTCAAGCTTTTACTTTATACATATAAGGAAAACTATCGCCTCTGGGGCAGGGCAATTTTAACACTAGGGGCATAATTAAAACAACTTTAGTAGAGGACCCATAGATGATATTATATTCCAAATATCAAAGCTCTAAGCCTTGTACCTTCAGACAAAAAGATTTTTTATCTTTTACTATATGTACATAATGAAAATCAATGACCCCCGGGGCGAAACCTATTTTGACGCCAGGGCTATAATTTGAACAATCTTGGTAAAGGTTCACTTCGAAAAGTCTCATGCCATATATTTAACCTCTAGCTTTTGTCAATTCAGAGAAGAAGATTTTTAAATTCAGAGAAGAAGATTGTTCAAGCTTTTACTTTATACATATAAGGAAAACTATCGCCTATGGGGCAGGGCAATTTTATCACTAGGGACATAGTTAAAACAACTTTAGTAGAGGACCCATATATGATATTATATTCCAAATATCAAAGCTCTAAGCCTTGTACCTTCAGACAAAAAGATTTTTTAATTTTTTACTATATGTACATAGTGAAAATCAATGATCCCTGTGGTCGGGGCCAAATTTGACCCCAGGGCTATAATTTGTACAATCTTGCTAGAGGTCTACCAGACAAAAAATAGATAAATACTGAATCCCTAAAGAAAGCCCAACACGGCAAAATTGAAAATGTTGCAGGCTCGGTTTGATTGAGCCTGTTCATTGACGGTACTGGAAAGTGCAAGTTACCGTCCACGCCCCCTAGATCCGGCTTAAGCAGAATTCAACATTTAAACACTAAAATGGTGAAATTTTGAATTTTGAAACATCCGCAGATGTGTTCATACGGCGGTTATCATGGAACCTTCAATGTGACACAGAAGTGTCATTCCATGAAAAGCGGCGTATGGTCCCAAAGTAAAAGAATGCGTGTGTCCTAAACGAGAAAACAATTGGCGGAACAAAATAAAATGGAATTTTGAAAGGGGATCTGAGGTTATGAAGCCCGCATATCACAGATATGACGTCAAAAGACAAATTTAAAAAGCAGGCAACATATCCTTAGGGTGATTCAACATTATTCAAGTAGGAATATTGGAACCAGCCAACTAGAAAATGCCGAAAGTTGAAAGAAAAAATACCACAAGCACAATAATAATGTCGTGCTGAACGATCTTTAAGGATCGAAAATATATCATCATTGATTAAATGTACGGGGAGACTTTTTACAGCCGCCGTACAGGAACAAATAACACGGATGTGATCATAAAATAGATAAATACAGAATCCCTAAAGAAAGCCCAACACGGCAAAATTGAAAATGTTGCAGGCTCTGTTTGATTGAGCCTGTTCATGGACGGTACTGGAAAGTGCAAGTTACCGTCCACGCCCCCTAGAACCGGCTTAAGCAGAATTCAACATTTAAACACTAAAATGGTGAAATTTTGAATTTAGAAACATCCGCAGATGTGTTCATACGGCGGTTATCATGGAACCTTCAATGTGACACAGAAGTGTCATTCCATGAAAAGCGGTGTATGGTCCCCAAGTAAAAGAATGCGTGTGCCCTAAACGAGAAAACAATGGGCGGAACTAAATAAAATGGAATTTTGAAAGGGGATCTGAGGTTATGAAGCCTGCATATCACAGATAAGACGTCAAAAGACAAATTTAAAAAGCAGGCAACATATCCTAAGGGTGATTCAACATAATTCAAGAAGTAATATTGGAACCACCCAACTAGAAAATGCCGAAAGTTGAAACAAAAATACCACAAGCACAACAATAATGTCGTGCTGAACGATCTTCAAGGATCGAAAATATAACATCATTGATTAAATGTACAGGGAGACTTTTTACAGCCGCAACACGGCACAAATATTACGGATGTGATCATAAAATAGATAAATACAGAATCCCTAAAGAAAGCCCAACACGGCAAAATTGAAAATGTTGCAGGCTCGGTTTGATTGAGCCTGTTCATGGACGGTACTGGAAAGTGCAAGTTACCGTCCATGCCCCCTATAACCGGCCTAAGCAGAATTCAACATTTAAACACTAAAATGGTGAAGTTTTGAATTAAGAAACATCCGCAGATGTGTTCATACGGCGGTTATCATGGAACGCCTTATGCAAAATATCTCAGCTATAGGCCTTTTGGGTCTTTACGATTAGATTTTTAAAATTTATTCTGATAATTCCTTTTGGTTGCCATGGCAACCAGATTTCTGCATGGAATGAAATTCTTTGAACAACTTTGAAAGCCCTTCATCCAAGGATCAATCCTGCCACATTTGGTTGAAATTGGACTAGTGTTTTTTCACAAGAAGATTTTTTTAAGTTCACTATTTAATCTATATGACACACACACACACACACACACACACCCACACACACACACACACACACACACACGCACGCACCAACGCACACACACATGCACACACACACACACACACACACACACACAAACAAACACACACAGGTGAATCGCTATATGCCACCGCATCGCAGATGATGCGGTGGCATAAAAAACACGAAGATTAATTGACGGATAAGATAATTTCATTTGAATCTGTTTGCATTGCAAAATTCTCCAGTTCGCTATTCATTGTACATATCGCGACATTTCATTTTCGATAATCAAGTATCCTCATACCAATCGGAATGATCGGCTATTATGGCCGACGAAAAGGCACGAGAAGTTGCAATTGCCCTTTCACAAAATCTGATTTAATTCGATAAGGGCGTTGCTCTTCGGCGCAGACGCCAAAAACAAATACTGTCATGAGCAATTCGAAAACAATTCCAGAATCTTTTGTTCTGAATGCTTAAGATTTTAATAAAAAAGAAGGTGGCGAATAAATCTTCATAATAAATGGTGGTTCTTGATGCATTTTCAGGTGCACATTTTGACCCTGAGTATTACATATTGCAGCAGTGATCCAGTCTCTAATACCCATAATCATTGTCTGTCAATTTTAAACTCATATCTTATTTTTCATACCCCTTAAGCCCATTTCTCGCTCTCCACACTCACGATAGATTATTGACTAAAATTCTGTTTTAACTGTCAAATTCACGCATTAGGGAAGGTAGTAATCCGTGCAAGTGGCATGGTGTTAGGGAATGACCTATCGACGGTGTTTGCATTTACCGGTATTTTCTATGTTTAGATTCAATCAAAGATGTTCATATATTGTCATCGTCACTATCAAAGAATTTATTTATTTATGATTTATGTCAAATTTTGTTATTTTTGAAAAGCATCTTGCTGACTACAATATATACAAATAAGTTAGTTCATCAACATCAATTATAAAGGACCTCAGCAAGCCACGTTATATATTTTGGTTGGAAAAAAATGTAAATTGGTCTGTATATGTTTGAAAATAAAACAATTTATCAATGACGTAGTACAAAAACAAAAGGAAGATGTCTATAATGCTTACGTGTACACACTAACGAAATATCATCACTGTGAGAGCAATAGTGCCTTGGAGGCACAAAATCACACTGATTTACATGAGTGTTTGTAGCAGAGCATCCTATATAACCGATATATATAGCTCCTGTTCCTTGTCCGTAAACAGAAGAATTGGGAAAATAGTGAGTTAATCTGCAATTTAATAAATTCCAAAATTAAAATGTAAATACAAGAACTAAAAAATGTCTCTGTCTAGAACAAGAATAACAACTGCTGTAAATTATGATGTCAACCACAACTACTCGTGGTTTAAGCTTTAAGCATTATTCCTATAACTGTTATTTGAAAAGAAGTGCTTTATAATTGATGTCCGGAGATGAAACGTCTTCATATGAAATGTTACATTTTCTAAATATTAAATTTTAAAGTAGTTAAAGATTCTTTTGAAACGCGTGTCACAAAACTGTTAAAGTAAGCATTAATTTAAGTTCTGAATTCTACCAAAATCCATTATTTTTAAAATTCCTGTAATTTTGTCGATGATTTAATCGCAGATGTCTGAAGCTTCGATTGACTGAAAGGAACTTGAATAATTGTATTACCTTTTTTAACTAACTAGAACTAAACATGTTGTCACGACAATTTCCCCAATTTTTATATTTACGTAAAGGCATCTGTTCTAGCTAAAATAGTTTAATTACATGTATATACAATCTTAAACTTCTCCATCAAACGGAGAACTAATTTTTGAGATAAATGAATACTGTTTATAGAAATGAATTTTTTATCTTTATATTATCATGTTATACACAACTTACGACATGTATTGTAGTATAGAACATTAAATTCTAATATGATACTTACTTTAAATCCATTGATTTACATAGAGTGTCGGCATCATATGATCCGATGGAATTACCACAAACAGTGCCCCAACCATCGTTTATCTTAACTTCAACACGACCGTCATATGGACCTGTTCCCCCAACAAGCCTTACTTCTGTTATATTATGTGGATATTCTTAAACAAAAGAAAACAAAAAGTGTATACGTAGATTATATTCAATTTTCATAGAGGTTCAATTTATTTCGATAATAATGATTTTGAGTTGATAATATTTACATGTTTTCCTGGTAGATAGTTTCACTTTTTTACTGTCACTTTATATATTTTGACAAAACTCTGGCACTCTATGTGTATGTTAGTTATTGTCACCTTCTGTCTGATTACATACCAGATAACATACCAAGACAGCATACTTCATCCTAATAAGAGTTTTTTCTTTGGTGAGCTTAAACTATTTTTAAACATTACGAAAACACCAGACTTTATCAGCTTTTTTGTTGTTGTTGTATAAGTTTTTGATTGGTGGGTTGTGGTGGTGGTGGTGGAGGGTTTTGTTTTTGTTTGAAGCTTATCTCTTGAAAGACATGAAAAATAATGTTGCATTAAACAAATTGAGATATTTATAAACTAGGTAAACCGTGAAGGTCTAGCATAATAATAAGGAGGTTTCAAAAATCCTTTGAAAAAATATATAGTTAAGTGCTTTTTTGAAATATTCACATTTTTGTTTGTTTGTTTGTCATGGGGTGTTCTCTCACGTCTAATCATGATAAGAAAACAACAACAAATTTTCTTTTTTACAAACAGCAACTTTCGACTTTTCTATTGAAACGCAGAAAGAAACGTTCAGTAGCGCTTGAACGCAAACGCAGTGAAATGAGCGTTATTCAAGTAAACCTGCTCATAATTTAATCATTTCATTGAAGAAACTAAATTTGAACCACTATTTTACACCACAAAGTATTCAAAGAGAAAAAAACACCAGTTTTAATATGTCTACAGACTCAACAGTAGTTTTGTAATTGTGATTTAAGTGTACGTAGAGTACAAATCATTTAAAGAACTTACTACACGTTACAAATATTGGATAGCTACTCCAACACGTCTGGCGAATATCGTATAAACAATCGTTTATGTGATCCTCCGTTCCTGTACATTCAAGTTTGTCTAAATGAAAAAGGTTTGAAGAACTTCCTAGTACATAACTGTAATCAAAGTAGCTGAAATCAAAATAATAAAGGCACTTGCATATTACATTAGTCCCATAAGTCCCATGAATGGCATCTTCGGATGTGCATAATTACATTAATATAATTATCATACCTTTATGAAACTGTTGCGTATTTAAGCATTGTGTAATTAATATGAAAAGAAAAAAATATGAGCATTCATTATAGCTTAAAATTTGTTTGTCTGTTTGTTTGTGGTTTTTGGGGGTCTTTTTAAGTTTAAAGATATTTAACACTGGTTTGAATCATAGTTAATAATTCCTGTTCGATAATTACTAATTCAATTTGATCTTATACAATATAGTATAGTTTTAGTAAATATTACTTAAATCCAAGCATTTTGCATATCACTTTTGCGTCGTTGTATTGAAAGCTGTTACGACAAATCTGTCCCCAAGTATCATTGACCTTGAGCTCAACGATACCATCAGTTAGACCTATACCATTGACAAGCCGTATGCCAGTAATGTTCAAGGGATACCCTGTAAAGATTCATGTTAAACAATTAGGGCGGTCTATCAGTATCAAAAAAATTATTAAACATTCTTACCTAATTTATACAGTTTTTTTTTGTTCAATTCATATGATGTTAAACATATAAATGGATGGAAATGGAACCTTTTATTTAAGCGTTTAAATGCCAGTTAACCATATGGTTCACATCAGAATTATCTTAAAGAGTAATGTCTTACAATTACCGTGGTTTAATATCAAAGCTCGCGTTTTTGTTTCTATCAATCATTACAATGAGCGTTCATCATGTATCCGAAAAACTATTCAGTTAATTTTCTTAGTTGAAGCAGCAGACTTAGAATGTTAAATATTTATGTCGAGTGAATTGTATTATCTTTCATAATTGGTACTGTAAGCTTTCTGTATTTAGCTGGTACGTATGACTATATGTAATAGAAAGAGCATCGAAACACGAGTCTATCTGATTTTTACGAGGGGGCGTTTTGGTGTCCTTCCTCTTTAGAATCAGAGTCAAACATAAAAACACGTTCCTTGTTGTCACAAAATGAAACCCCAGAAAAAAGAAACAAATGAACGAGCATCTGAATATCATATTTCTGTCGCGTTTTCTTTCTCTGCCTTCACAATGAGTAAACCCCAGCTAAAATGAACCAATCAATGTGCATGCTGTGGAGTGCGGGTAACTAATACCTGCACTCAAGTTAACGCACTGTGCATGTATATGTATACGATTTAACTCTGACGCATTTTCAACAGAAAGGTCCCTTAACTATGATACAAATCAAGCTTAATGTTGGTCTCACCATATTAAATGTACGAATTATCAAACAACGGTAGTGTGTATTTATATGTGCTTGTGATAGCAAAAAAATGGTTTAGGCGAAAGAAACCACATAAAA